TGATTATGAGCAAGTTGATCAGCAAGATTGTTGAATGGGTCATCTTGGTGTGCAGTGACTTTGTGAAAAGTAAGTTGTAATTAACAATTTTTTTATATACCTATTCAATAATTCTTTATAAGTTTATTTACTAATATTACTTAGTTTATTTAAGTTTTCTATATAACTTTGTTTATTTATCTTAATCTTTTTTTGAAAGAAATTTTTTTTGTTTATTAATAGTTTCAACTTTCTCTTAATTTATTGTTTTATTAACTATATTAATTACCCTATTTACAGTTCTATTTATTAATTAATAAAAATAAACTTGCTTGTTTATGCATATTTTTTTTAAAATTTTTGTAATTTTTTAATTTAATCTAGAATTCAAATATAAAAAATTTAAAAATTAGTAAAATTTTTACTCATACATTAATTTTCATTCCATTTGAGTATTAGATAACCAAGAAGGTTACTAATCCCAATAGGTCCAATGTTAAATTAGCAAAAAGTCTTAAACATCAAATAACCAAAAGGTTAATTGTATTCTAACATTGGTTTTGTGACTCAGCAAAGAGCCTTGAATGACAAAAAGCCAAGAAGCTTACGATTATCATGCTACCTATACTTAAAAATTTTTACTAGCCTGTTAATATTGATCAAGAAGTTGTCTTGCTTTTTTTGACTTATTCCTTCTCTGCTTTAATTTTTTAAAAACTTTTAAGGTATTCGTCTATTTTTCTCTCAAACGGTTCTAGGTCACATTCACTTAAAAAGCCGACTATGTTCCAATTACTATATTTATCGATTGAAGTATTTAGGGTATTTTGTTTTTTGTCATAACAAGAGAATAATTAAATTTTTGGCTTACGCGTTATCACATGATACGCGTTAGGGGTGTAAGATTCGTACATTCAAATCACATGTTACTATTTTTGTCGATCCTTGCTTTGATCACGCACAAGTTTTTATCATTCGAATTTTTAATATAATTGATATAATTGACAAAGATTTCACTTAGTTACTCCTTTATATTATTTTTTACGAAACTGTTAGTATTGTTCTTTGACAAAGCAAATATTTAAAGGAAGTCGACTTTAATTGGTTATAGTGAAAAAGTATGTGGAGACGTTGGTCTTCTAAACCTAACCCAGAACCTCAAGCCTTAAGGACTTCCGCCGATGAGGAGGCCCTGGCAGAATATGTATACTCTAAGGTTATTTATCAAGCAGGTAAATAACATTCGACAGCATGAATAAGAAACTTTTGTTCCATTTTTTTGATATTTGTACTACAGGATTTGATATTTTTTGTACAGGTGTAGACTTTGAAAGCAAGCCAATGGTGGTGATTTGCGCCTGCAACCTGCCAAATCCTGCAGATGTCAATTATGATAGAATTTTATCGTAATAGAAAAAATTGTTTCCTATATGTTGGATACCAATTTTTCTTGATTTTAACGTATCATTTATCAACTTTTTATCAAATTAAGTCGAATACTACAGAAATTAGATATTTTTGTTGAAAGTGATTATACTGTTGTACTCTTCGCCGGAGGTGCCAAATATAATCCTGGTTGGGCTTGGATGTTTCGAGCATATAAAAGCTTGAGTAGAAAGTGAATATATGATTTTCTTGAATTAAAATTTCTACAAGATTAAAAAATATCACTAACAAGTTAATTTTTCTTAAAGATATAAGAAAAATTTAAAATCCTTATATATAGTACAGCCATCTACTTGGGCTCGTTTATATCTTGATTTTATGAATGTTGTGATAAGGTATTTTTAATATTAAAAAAAAAAATCGATAACAGTTGTCGTTCGGTTCTTGGGATTTTCAGGGATAATATAATAACCAAATATTTATACTAAATTATTTTAGTCCAAAATTTGCAAAAAAAGTTAAATACGTTCTTACATTATCCGAACTAGCTAAATATGTTCCTCTTACGCAGATTGACATACCTCCTGCTGTTTACGAGTATGATATCACATTAGTTCTAATCATTTCACAATGTTTTATAATTGATTAATTATTAATGATTTATGATATTAGATATAATTTAAAATTCGAAGATAAAATTACATTACCAAATTTATACAATTACGATGAAGATGGACATTTGATGTTTGGAGTCCTTATTGAAAAACTCATGGGTGCTGAAGGAGAAAATGGATTACCAAGAGTTGTTAGAGATTGTGTCACGTATCTAAGATCCGAAGGTATAAATCGTTCTGTTTGATAGCAATCCTAAACTTCAAATTTTTTGATTTATAATTAATTGTGAATTGAATTAGGTTTGGAAACTGAAGGAGTGTTTCGTAGATCACCTAGTTCCGTATTATTACGACAAGCGAAGGAAGCATATGACCGAGGTTTGTAACCCTTAAATAATATCATAATTTAATAAATATATATTTTTGATTGATTTCAATGTTTCTCGATTAAAATAGGAAATCCTGTAAATTTAAAAGATTATGGAGTTCATGTGGCAGCAGTTCTTCTTAAAATGTTCTTTAATGCTCTGCCAGTACCAGTTTTCCCCGTGGAAACATACGATACCCTTAAACAAATACTACATAAACCAAATTATTTGGGGAGAATTGAATTTATTCGTAGTAGTGTTTTTCCATTATTGTCTCCGGCGGTAGTTCTTGTCCTGAAATATGTTTGCGCCCTTCTTGTTGATATTTCAAAGCACAAGGACGAAAATTTGATGACGCCACACAATCTCGCGGTAATGTTTGCACCGAACTTAGTACATAGTGGTAATCCATTATTAGATGTTAGTATGTGTGGTTTGAAAGTTAACGATGATATTAATGGTGGTGGAGTGGGTATATTGATGAGGCTCGCAATAGAACATTTTGATCTTATGTTTGAAGGATATGAAGATTTAAATTGTCGAATCCGACCTGAGAATGGATCTATATCAACATCATCATCTATGACATGTTCAAGCGGAACTCCAGATACACCAACCATAATTAATACATCAGCATTCTTTACGAATCCACCAACACCTCCAAAATATCCATCAGTTAAAAAAGTGCGAAGTATCGCAGCACTAACAACTTTAACGAATGATCCATTTCGAGTTGGAGCGGGGGTTGAGATCAGCGGTATTAAGGTACGAGGGACAGTCACTTTGAATCAGCTAAGCACAAGATATTCCGATCTACCAGGATCACCAAAAAGTATTAATGAATTGCGAAGGTCAATGCCCTGGATGGGTTGATCTATGTTTTATTGCTTTATTTGGAGCCTTTGACCTTTTTGAACCAATTTATCAACTATTACATTTTCTTTTTCGTATATATATGTCTTATATGTCTGACAATTTATTACTAGTACTTTAGCATGCTAAATATAAAGATAATAAAGTTAATTTGATCTTTTGCTTGATGTGCAGGAGATAGGCAGGATTTATTACGTTTTAATAGTACCGTAAACTATGGTATACAAGATCCATCATACCCGTTGTGTTAATTACAGTTTACAATAATTAGCTGCAATTTTTTTAAAAAAAATATGTACCTAGATTTTCTGGGCTGTATTCTGAGAAAAGGGACCAAATTAATAATAATAAAAAAGTTTTGCGGAAATTGAATTTTATATTATAAATTCTATAATAATTTATAAGAAAATATGACGAAATCGAAAAAAAAAGATTTTTAGAATTTTTACTTTTTTTTGCTAAGGTCGATGTTTATGCCTTTATTGTGTTTTCAATTATACATACATATAACTTGTACAAGGTGAATGTGCAACTAGTCACACATGTAACTTTTGGTTACCTAAGTAGTCCTATAGGAGATTACCTATTGTTATAGGTGAAAGTCTTCTTATTTTTCACACTATAATGATGACATGGCACAGGGAATCCCTTACGGGTATATGCGGTGTTCAAGAGGGAAGTATAGCTTCTGTTAGATGTTGTCAAGAAACTATACCCTTCTC